ACAACTCGCACCCCCCCCCCCCCCCCCCAAAAAAAAAATACTAGGAGGACTGCTCAGGCGGGATATTTTTTTCAAATGAATTTTTTCCTTCCATTAGCTTTTCTTCAGTGTGGGGGTGCACAAAAAACCCCACTGAAACCTTAGGGCTACCCTTTTTTCTTGTTTAGGGTCCTCTACACCTCACTTTACAACAGTGACACCAAAGACAACATATAAATTATGGAGCTATTATACTACTTCACAACAGCCAGAACTGCCAAAACAGGTGGTGACTCACCTTCTAGTACCACCTGAACATAGTCTTGAGCAGACATCTTGTCCTTGCGCACAAAGCACTGGTATGCGCCTCCATCACTCTTGGCCATGCCATCCATAATAAGGTTCTCCCGGTTGACTCCAGTGATCCGGACATTGTTACCAGGGTTGATGATTTCACCGTTACGGTACCAGGAGAGCTCCTGGTCCTCAGTTCCTGTCACGCTGCAGGACAAGGACACTTGACTACCAACACTGCTTTTTACTTTCCGTGGACTGATTGTGGCTTTTAGTGGTTCTGAAGATTTAAAACAAACGAAGGAAGGAGAGGGAAAGGAAAGTAGTTAAGTACACACATACATTTATGTGTGAGTAAAAAATTAACTCTCAACTATAGAAAACAACAAAAATCACACCCATACACCTCTGAAAAACAAACAGATGACTGTGTTTGATTTAACAGGCATTTCCCCCATCAGCATTCATGACACAATGCTTAGATCTATAGGAAAAACCCTTATATCACATGATATAATCCTCTAGACTATGCCTAAATGAATAGTAGGAAGACTTACAGAGTAAAATGTTTGGTGCTGAGGGCCTACCATCAGCACTACACACGTCTTGGGAGAGTGGGACATTACTTCAGATTAGTTCAGTCTGGACCTTTGAGGTGCATTAGATGCATTCCTGAAGCTCATCTTCTGGTTCAGTTTCATCCAAAAGGAATCTAGTTCACATGTTCCAAAATCACTCCCTGACGTGAACAAGTGCAGTGAATGCCGATGACCAGGAGATGTGCTTCTACAGAGTGAAAGATCTACACTAAAATACTAACAAACATAGATGAACCCACAGACATCAGTGGCATCCATCCATGTGTAACAGTTTCCTTGTGTGATCTCACTAAATTTTCTGTCCCAACGTAACAGGACAACAGTATTTTCAAGTCAGTCTTAAGAAATAGTAGGATATAGGTTCCTAATAAAAAATTGAAAATTTTTAATTGCAAAAAAAAAAAAAGAATGTGGAAAAAAGTAATAAAGATAAATGCAAGGGAATCAGTTTTTATCCTGCCACCTAACAGTTACTGTCATTACTGGGTGCAGACCTCCATCCACGTTTATTATATTTTGGTTTGGCTTCATTATAAAGATAAGGGATTACTTTGAAGTGTACACTCAGATTGGATTCTAATGAGGTTCAATGCCACCTCTACCAATAACAAGAAAAGGCATAATACATTTCCTGTTTCATTTGTGGATAACCAACACTGATACCATTTCTGGTACTAAATATATTCTATTCTATCCTATTTACTTTTAGTAACTTACATACACACATATACGTTCATCCATATACATGAAAATTTCCTCAACTAACTCATTCACTATACAGAACATTTTATGATACAATTGTTGGAGGAAATCTTTAGTGCTTCTCCAGTACATGTTGCCAAAAATTACTGGCCCATTGGGAAGAGAGGCCTGGGGAAGAACACGGGTCTGTGGCTCCAGTCATTCCAGATCACAGATATTTTATATAATATAGTTCCTTCAAAATGGCCCAGAATAATATTTAATTTATGCTCACATGCATACCACAAGTCACTGAACATTTCCCAGTTTCCTATACAAAAGACCATAAAGGCTCAAAACTGGCAATGTCCCATTAAACACAAAAGGAGGGGTGCCCCCAGTATCTTAGAGATGATTCAAGAAAGTGGACTACAACCTCCACCACAGAGGAAGGTAAAAGTCCTCCCAACTTTTGCTTCCTGCCAGTCTGATCCAGAAGAAATCTACTGGCCAGCTGATCACTGCATTCATAAGCAAAACATTTCACTAGGCACTGGGAACACTTTTGATATCACTAGAAATACCATTACATCTTCTCTCTGCAAGTTTTGACTTTTGTATCTTATATGGTAGATTGAATTCAACTAATCTTTATGAAAATATTTTAAAAGCAAAACTCCTCCCTGTTATAATTCAAACTTTTTGACTTATGATCTCTGTTTTATTTTGCCCAAATCTGCTGAGTGTAATTACTGGCAAAGAAATTTTTATGGCCTGAACTGTTCACAGATGTCTCCCTTTTGCAGTTTGTTAGTCAAGAGGTACAGGTGGAAATGTTAGCTCGGTATGGATTATTTCTATTCCAGAAACTCTTTTTATTTTTTTAAACAATAGAAGAATAACATTTTTCCAGTGTAGAGCTTCTGAGTAATAATTATCTTTGCTAGAATTTGTGAAACATTCAGAATATTCACACATGAATACTCAACTTAGCAGAGGTATGAGTATTCAATATTACTGAACAGCATGAGTCATGGCAATGAGAGTTTGGCAGCTTTATTCATGAGAACATTTGCAATTTCTTTTTAAGCATTCAATTCAAACTTCTAAATTACATATTCTCTATGTGATAAATTATATAGCTACATTATAAATTGCATCTCTTTGCACTTCTGTTCAATTGTCCAACTTAACCCATCTCCACAGAGTCTACTTTCTGGTGTTGCACAACTTTGAGAAGTTTAAGCATTGCTAACGTTAAAGTAACAAAACGGAAGGTACAGCAAGGTACAACAATTCTATCCCAGGTACGAACTGCCCTGCAAGAAGTGGACCAAGAACTTCATTTAGCCTAAAGACTTACGTTTTACATATAATCGTCCTATCATCTCAGCAGTACCATAGTTGTTCCACACCTCGCAGACATAGTTGCCTGTGTCCGAGGGACGCGTGTTCTCTATCAGTAGACCTGTAACTGTCTGCCGAAACCTGCTGTCAGGCTCCCAGGGAACGTTGTCCTTCAGCCAACGATACTTTGGTGCGGGGTGCCCTGATGCTTTGCAAGGCAGCTCCACTCGCTGTCCTGCCATGGCTTTACGATGGTCAAACCCATCTAGAATAGATGGAGCTGAATTCGCTGGATCTGAAAAAGCAAACAGAGGGTTTCAATAGGAACATTAAAATTATTTCATTCACGGAGCAATATGCCAATATTTATTCTCCCCTGTTGCTTGACTTGCTACCCAGTGTTTTATGTACTACAGTTTGCTACTGTGCCCCAGCCATCAGTGTGTAATATCTCAGCTGTGGTGGCTGAGATCCAGCAGCATGTACTAACAAAATATCTCATGACTACTTGGAAACCCTCCCACTGGATTTCTTCCAGGTGGCAACCATTCCTCCGATCATCCTTCATGTCTTCTATCAGAGGAATGGAGAGCCAGAAATATATTGCCTTAACAATTACTACTGCTATCCCTGCACTACTCGACTAGAGTGAAGCCAACACATTCTCCGTGTTTCTCAGTGGTCAGAGAGTTTTGAATTAAAGGACTGATTTATTCCCATGTCAGAAAAGAAATGGACAAATACACAGGAATCACTATCTGTAGACTACCTGACAGACAGGCCTTTTCTTCTCTCAAAAAATAACTTGAGATGGCAAGAGAAATTTACAGCTTAATAATCCAACTTTCTGCACTCAACTTACTGAGAAAAGCAGCTCTCAGATAAACATGCTTATGTAGCAGCCAGGATGTATTTATATGTATCACAGAAATCTGACAGAGTACCTTCACCAGAGGTGTGAGTACCTCATGAAAGATCATAATCTACTTATGAGGTTGACTCTTTAGTTTGAAAACGTTTGGGAAAGAGACTGATATGATTTAGTTTTGCACAGGGTGCAGCACAATGGAAGCATATCCAGTTAAGACATCTTGGAGTTACTGCAACATAAATACTAAAAATAAATCAATGAATAGGTGATAAACAAAAAAGATAAATAAATCAAAAAATTATTTCAATAGTTACTCATCACATATCTTAACCCACTTTGCTAAGACTTCTGTCTCACAAAGAAACTTCACACTCTGATCAAATCCTTCTACTCCAGTCTAATATACTGGTCTCTTTTGGGGTATATCTACCTGGCAGTTAACTAGATGTAGGTGTGATTGCAACCACTTTGACGTTATCATCAAGTGGGTTTTCAATTAGCTAGCTCAGGTACTACTCACAAGGCAGCTGCAGCAGATCCCTGCCAGTGACTGGAAAGAACATCATTAAAATGAGCAGTCCATGCTAAATTCAAGCTACTCAAGTTATAGCGCAATCAGTATCTGAGTTACCTGGTTTAAAACTAGCTTAGACATATCTTCATAAACTACAGTCATGCCTGGGGGGATACACTTCAGAGCAAAATACATATTCTGTGTTAGCTAGAGGCCCTACACAAGTTATACCAATAATCCCAAAACAAAAACTTTGATTGTAAACAAACAGAATAAGTGGCCAGTCCAGTAAAGTGTGTGTCAATATCCAAACAAAACTCTAAATGCTAAGTTTAATGAAAGATGACCACAGAATTTTTTCTGTTCTGTAGGTGCCAGCAAAAAGTTGAGCCATTGAAGGCAATAATACATTCTTTTTACAGCAACTTACTGTCTCATTAGGAACACATCAGCCAGTAGCTAAACAACTGTTTTGCATGAATTAATAAACAATAATGAATATTCACCACCAAACACTCTTCATCCCCAGGTAAGAAAAAATATTTAAGGATGTAAAAGGCAAGCAAAAAATGCATGTCAAAGGTATTTAGACCTTTCACAGCTATATTCATGGATTTTCTGATCTCAGTTCTTAAAGGACTCACTATTTTTAAATATAAAAAAGATCCACTAAAGGAAAAGAAAACCTGTAGAGAAATATTTGGAGACAAACTCTCTCCAGAACTGCAATACTTGTTCAGTAGCCTCACAGGACTGGAAATGAGAGCACAGTATAGCTCTAATAGAGAACAATTATCCCCACAAAATTCAAAAATGCCAGCCATTGCACACTGGGACAGGTAAAATTTTCTACTCTGATTTGGTCTGTGGAGGAAAATAGAACAGGAAGCTCCAGATAGGGCACATATTTTAGGGTGCTTGCCATGAATTACAGAAGAAACAGAGCTTTCACTTTTCACTCTTTTTCAGTGCAATAACTAGAAATTTTCCTACGGTAACCAAGATACAAGCCCAATTTTATTTCTATTACCACTGGCTCAGCCTTAGCATGATTTCATATGGAAACAGACCATAAAATTGAGCCAGCTAGAAGGATAAGAGCCTGCCTTTCCTTGTAAGACCAAGGCAGGCAGATTATTGTGCACGACTAATATTTCTTCATCTGGCTGGGAAAAGCGGAGGCAAGAGTTTTACCCACAGGGGACACATATCAAAGGAAGAAACTCCTGGATGTGACTGGTAAGTAATTCTAACCTGAACAATTACACCATTTTTAGCATTAGTGCATTTTAGTACTGATTTGTGTGTTCAGAGGCTTCAAAATCCTTCAGCAACGCTCATACTTGGCAGGAAGTATGTTGCTAATGTAAATCCCTCTTCTGTCTCCCTTAAGGCTCTCAAAGAGAGGATGGGGAATTGATATCTAATCACTAGATTTTTCTGAAAAAAAGACCAAAAGACAAAAAGACAAGATCAAGACAAGAGGAGAACAATGCCTCGGACTGTTAGCTTGCAATAGTCACCATACCCTGATGGCTCTTTAGGGCTAGGGTTACATGGCAACTTAGTAAGAGTGAAAAGGAGAAAGAGGTCCGTAGGGTATTCAAAGGGTAGGCGGGCATGCCTTCTGTAAGGCAAGGACACAGTGCGAGAAAGCAGAAAGTCTGGGATACGCTGTCAGCTAATTCTACTGATTTGGGAACACAGTCACAGATGTGCCCACATTGAAACCTAGGGTGCAGCTACAGGTGTCCGGCAAATGCAGGAGGGGAGGAGAGATGGGGAAGGGCTAATACTGTACAGACGTGTTCAAGAGCAAGCTCAAAACCCCGGCCTAAGGTCTGTTCCTTCTTCTCACCTCACTCACAATTGCCACCTCCTTTCCCTGAGACAAAACGGGGAGAAGAAGGAATTGGAGAAATACAGTACTGACAACCTCCAAGCGTTAGGGGGATGTGTGTGTCAACAATCCAGGACACACACAACAATCACGAGATGATTTGCAAACGGAAAAAAAAGTGAAAATACCCCATCTTCTTACAGTTTCCACACCTGCTGTACAAGGCCATTTGCCCCAGGACTAGCAGATCTGCCCATAGACAGCAGCCTGCTAACCCTCCTGCCTACCTGCAGCACCCTGTGTGGGCAGGTCACATACCCTTTTCTGGCTGGAGTGCCCCTCCTATAAGCAGGGGAAAACATTCTTTACCCTGGGGAAGGAGCGTAGCGAATGAAAAGGAAGACTGAAATGCACCTCAGCTAACTTGAGACTCCAGCAGCAGAAATATCTTCAGCTGAGCTAAACGCTCTGGGCTTCTGCTATAGTTAACAGAGAGAAACAGGCACCACAGGGCAATTCGTCTTACCCCAAAGTAGGCAGCTGAAATAGGTCAGATAAACTGCCCCTGAAAGTGTCCGTTCCTCTCCACTGATTATTCAGAAGCTAAGGTGACTAGACACTTTCTCTGCAAATGTCTACTTTTAATGAGATGAATCCCAGCCAGAGTCCTTTTATTAAGAACTCTCTACCTACTAAAAATCACTAGAATAAATGCTAAAGCCGGGCCAAGCACCTTGCAGGTTCTCTGGGAATATCTAATAGGAGGAGAAAAACAGAAAAAAGGCATTTAAAATGGGGACATTCTACTTTGCAGTAGCAGCAGTAAGCTCACAGCCAACCACTTCTACCGTCCGTTTGACAGAGGAGTTGATCATTAGCACCTACGGACACAAGCTCCTGCCTCATCAGTTCAGCACATCAGAGGCAAGCATACACGGTACTTAGGTCAACACTACATATAAGGAAGTACCTGATACAAAAAGTCTTGCACTGTTGCTTTGTCGTGTTTCTCCAGTGTATCTGTGCCTTGTGATACATCGGTAGTTGTACAGTCCATCTTCATTCTGTACGTCTAAAATATACAAGGCTCCCGTGGATGTGATGAGAAATCTAGGTCCTGCAAGACACAAGAAATTGCAGTATTTACAATACCTGCAGCTTTATACTGTGTTCTGCTTTCCGAGGCTTAGAGATGGAGGAAGCAGGCTGGAGGGTCCTGAAGGTTTTGCTGCCAGAGTTTAGAAGCTGCCAGTTACAAGTTTACTAAGTGCAAATGCATATACAGATATTAATTCATGTGCACGTCTTATAAAAAAGATAGGGATCTACACAGAAAATGTGTGCAATGACGGAGAGGAAGGTTCCATGGTCGACATCACAATCACAGATATACAAGTGGTACCTGAAATAAAATATATAGTAAATTGCTAATGCAGAATTTAATCCACTCTAATTCAACATTAAAGTGTGATGTGACAGTAATTCATCCGCAGAGTTGTACACATTAGAAGGACCGCCTGGGCTGATATGCCTAATGAAACACTATTAGCCAAAACCATATTTTTCGCCCAGGTGCATCAGAAAACAGAGAAAAAAGGATCAAAAAAGCAGAACTAAAAACATAGTGAAGATGAGAGAAACTCACAAAGGTAGGAAATTTTTGCCCAAGGATATGGGGCCTATTTGCCAAAGAATACTAGAGATAAGAACCACAGACTTGCTCCATAGACTATTTCAGGTGTCATTGCAAAAGGGAAAACATGGACAGAAAAACCCAACCCCAGTGGAGTTCTACATATTGAGCTAGCTGTAAAGTAGAGAGCACGAGTGTCAGAAACAGTCTCACTCCTCTCTGCCTATGCTTCCTATGTGCTAAAGTACTGCAGTCCTCAGCAGGATGGGCTGGGCTCTTTGGAGCTCAGTATTCACACAGCTAATATGTTTAGTCTTTTTGCAGATATTTTTGGTTTATAACATTGCAGTCTGCAACTGGAGAAGTACAATGCAAGCAGGTGCACAAACTCTGTGTCTAAATGAAGGACCTTAAATAAGGTTTTAAATTAAGGGGTTTTTTTTTTTCTACAATGAAACATTCACTTCAGGAAGAAAAATAAGTGTTTTTAATTAACTTCAAAAGAAAAATGTCACAGACATAGGTACACACGTGCAATTTTGATCATTTGACACCGGCAAAGACTCTGTAAAGGTATGTTCTAAGATCAAGGATACAGAAATGCTAACATCTGCAAACTACATGTTTACTCTCAAACTTTTCCCATATTAGAATAAATGCAAAATAATGTGGTTAGAATGGATTGCAAACTTGGGTCTCACAAGAGTGGCCACTGTTTTCAAAGAAATACTGTAGTCTGACCTATGCATATTTTTCTAAAATTTTTACATTGGAGAAAAAAGTAAAAGATGGTGTCTGGTAGCTCTTACAACATGTTTATCTTTATGTGTGCATTATAAAATACACCTGACTCCCAAATTAAGGGAAAGCATACATCAAAATGAAAGCCATTATGAACTAATATCCAGTAATAAGCAATAAGAAATATTTCCTCTTCTTCAGAGCTAGATCCAAGCAATGAGTTTTTAATAAGTGAAGTAGTCAAGTTGCTCGCTCACACATGCATCAATGTGCAAGCAATCCAGCAGAGAAAAAACAGAAAGGAAATGGTATCACTACAGAGGGCAATCTCTTTTAAATTACAGTCTAAAAGAAATGGAAAAAAAAAGTTTTTTGAAACACTTAATGTCACAGGACAGGACTGACACTTAGAACAAAGAACACTGAATAAGGCAACCTCGCTGCCCACCTCCCTCTTCTTTGTACAAGTACTGAATCACAAAATAATCACAGCTATGACTTCTTTTGGCTGACCCTGTTCTCCCAAAAGTCAAGGCACAAGTATGCATGCAAACTTGGATCACAACATTGTTAAAATATAACAAATACTGTACATACCCTTCTAAAGTGCCTTATTTGTTCCAATAACGTGACATTAGCAAAGAGTGTAATAACGAAACAAATTCCCAGCACAGAGGCATGTAAGACGTTGAGCTACTGCCGGCTACCCAGGAGGACAGCGGGGCTAAGGAACATGTGAAGGACGAGGACCAGAAGGCAAGAATGTTTTCCTCCGCAGTGAGATACTATTGGAGCAACACTATATTCCAGCCTAACGTATAAAGTGCTTAGACATTAACGGTGGGGGGGGAGGGGGCCCCCCCGCCATGAAAAACGCAAAGCTATCTTGTATCTTATATTTGAATATGTTTAGCTGTAATGTTTGGAGGACATGATATACATGGTTTAATAAGAGTAAGTTAATTCAATAAAAATATTTTACCTAGCTTCTCCATTACTAAGCAGTTATTAATTTGCTAGTCTGCTCAATAGCTTGGCTTAAGCAAAACATGCTAATGGTGTTTCCTACACATATCTGGCAGCTAATAGCTACTAGCAACCAGAAAGCACAGTCAGCAAGTATGTAGGCAATCACCTGGTGCACCCTGTATCATAGGACTGTTCTTTATGCTCCATCAATCATAGGGCTGGGTTTCAAATCCACAGGCGAGAGGAAGTCTACCATTTCTCAGTGAATCAATTTCATACTGTTTCACAAAAAAGTGGTACATCCTGTTGGTCAGGGAATACTTTTTTTAAAGCTGATTTTCACACTGCAGCTCCTAGCTACATTGCCATATCCTATACTAAATATTTCTTCTTTTTCACTTTTACAGTCTCCAAGTGCTCAGATACAATCATTTGATCCACTCCACCCTATCTCCTCCCCATCACTAAGGCACTCAATGTCTGGGTACCCAATAACAAGGTTTATTCACCTTCATCCCTAATTCTAGGTTAGAAAGGATACTTCGAGTTTTGGTGTGGAAACCCCTGGGATGTTTGACTCCTGTGTCAGATGCAAACTCTGTTCTGAAATATTCATAAAGCAAATCTTCCTTTGCAAAGAAATATGTTACATGAACTGCAGGTAATTAAAGCCCAGTTGTCTGCCTTGGACTGCAGGCAGCAGGAAACAACGGCTTCAGGAGATGCAAACCACATTTAAGGACTTTACTTAGGGTTAATGATGGGTATTGGAGGCAAAAGCAACCTCTTCCTGCTTCTGTTTCCAGCTTTGTGAGCACCGGCCCGCTCTGTATTACAGCCAGTATAGCCGATTAGCCATGCACTTGCCCACAGCAATCCTACGCAGCTAGCAGGCCCTCCAGGCTGCTGAGCTGGAGCTAAGAGCTCCATACAGACATGTCCTCTGGAGCCTGATCAAGGCTTGCACTAGACAAATTTTCAAGCAATGTATATACAGAGCAAGGGATGCAATTCCATCACCAAACCACGTCGGGGCAGACATCAGTGAAGAGGCTGCTCAGCTGCTATCACATCACAAGCCCAGAAGCACACATGAGCCTCAGAAAGTGCTAATGGGGTGACCGCTGTGGTCCCCCCAGTAAATCTGCACATGTGGTGCATTTGTGTCAAGCGACTGGACATCTAAACAGCTGAGAGGCAGAAATGGTACTCACTGTACAAGCGCTTCGCATAGCTTTCCTTCCCTGGGAACTTGTAACTTTGCTAAACGTGCATAAGTCTAGTTCTACAAAGAGTCACACTGTTGGAGATTACTAGTATGTGCAAGTTTAAGATCATACAAACATGTCCAAATTTTTCAAAAGAATTCCATTCTCCATGCTTTTCTAAAGCTTTCACTATTTTCAGTAGGTCCTCTGGGAAGTAAGTGTAATTTTGAGCTACGACCTATACAGGCCATCATTAATAATTTCTCTCTCTTCTTACGATAAGCATGAAGTAATTGTCACAGAAATTAAGTTAGAGATCAAATTCATAGCATCCCTTCAAAGTGCTAAAAGCTTGCTTCCTCAATATCTCTACCTTGTGCACTTTATTCCCAGTAACATTTGCACTGCAATTGAAACTGAGGAAGTATATGGAGTGCCTACTGCCAAGCGGAAGGATATGTATAGATATGTGGGTTATTTTCAGATCACATAGTACTGCCTTGCATTTGCAGTTGAAGCCTTTTCTCTTTAGCTCTGGCAGCAAGTCTTCTCTGACGCACTAATACATCTGGGTCAAAAACAGTTGGTGTATTTATTAAAAGCATTCTATTATTATAAGAGCTTTATGAAAGCTATGCAGAGCCAAGAAATTTTTCAGTGTTATCTTGTTGTTCTGTTTTCTATAGAAGTTATGAACATACTTGAGCTATCTAACACTGTTTAGATCATCTTCCTGTTGAAAATTACTCAGGCAATTGTATAATAAAACCTTCACTTAATGCATTATCTAGAGACTTTTGCCTCACCCTCTTTAAAGATAACTAAAAATAAATAGTTATTGCCACACATCAGATGTTATCCCACAGCACACATTTCTCAGCAATTCACATTGTGCATAATTGCAGGGCTAAAGCTTTTTCTTTTCCTCTCTTCTTCTTAATATATTTTACATACTTATGTAATGCTTTAATAACCATCTCCTCCTTCTACTGTAAAAACGCTAGACAGAAAAGATGACAGAAAAATAAAAGGGGAAATGCATGTAATTTCTGTCATCTTCTAAACGGAGAGCATTTTCATTAAAAACGACAGGCTGTCAACTGTGACAAAGCCAAAGTGTTGAGCGTTCTGTGTTCTGTACTTCAAAAAGTGTTCAGAAATGCACCAGGATGGGGATCGACAAGCTTTCATTACCCTGTTGATCTAGGGGAGGGTTCTATTCTTGAGGTTCATTTAATTTAATCGTTCTTGCTTTGCTGTAATAAAGTCTAATTTTTTTGACTCACCTACTTAATATGTCAAATAAGGATTTTTTTTTAAAGGAACATCCTTTCAGATAAATTGAAGCTTTTTGTTTGTTTGGCTGTTAGCAGGCTTCAAGGGAGGAAGGCAGAGAAGCCCCCTTCACAGCAATTAAAAAGAACACTGTCAAAATATATTTCATAATTCCCATTTATTATTCCTCCTCAGTAGTGTTTGTATTAATCCCCTGAACATTTGATTATAATAATTTTGGCATCTGATTTTCAGAGACGTTGAACGCTCACATCTTTTACTTGCTTCTGC